CTTGCTTAATATCTCACATTGATCTCACTGCGCGACGACTCTCGAATCTCAAGGCTAAGTATAGTAAGCCAACTAACCTAACTAGAACCAAACGGTTCACTCTTTCCTTGTAGTGAAAAACTAGAATTGAGATTATCATGTTTTTACATTCGAAAAATGATTCTTGTATAATGCTCTTGACAAACAGGATATCTTGCCCAACTTTTAAGAATGTTCGGTTGCAGCTTCTCTTTCTTTGCAAGTTCTTCTGTTATCCTTTCCTACCACGTATGGTACTGATTAGCTTTACTATGAAAAGCTACTTTGTACAAAACTACATTATTTGTCTATTTGACAATTCTTGTATTGGCCAACTTCTTTTCTCACTTTATATTTCTGTCATTGTAGAGATTTTTAAACTTATCTATATGGCTCTTTTTAAGTGTTTAGCTCTTTTTGTTCTCAAAGAATCTCTTCTTTTTCAACAAATTTTCGACAAACAAAACATCTTATGATCTGTGTCATCCATCGTCTAATTCGTCTTTACCTCCGCTCCCTTGAGAAGAATAAAATATCAAGACCTTTCAGGCACCATCAGTCTTACCCGATTTGTTTTGATTCGTGGTTTTTCCACTTCGTCTCAACTCCTGCGTAGTATATCGAAACCTGTCGCGCAAGTGACGAAGATGGTTGGATCTATAGGCACTCACGATGGGAAATTTCACTGTGATGAGGCATTTGCTTGTTTCATACTGAAACGTCTCAACCAGTTCAGGGACTATAAACTGATAAGGTTGGTTTTCTACAGACTTCTTGCTAAAGAGTGGAGCGAGAGCAAAAGGATTACTTCTCTCCTCATCTTCATAAAGGAAAGGTTTTCGCTTGCGTATTTTCCTATGAAAACAAAGTGTTATCTGTTTTACAATGGATGTATAGAGATGTATAGAGAATTATCATAAAAACAAAGACAAGATCCTGTTTTTCAATTTTGTGCAAGAGCACCTATCACAGTTCTGTTTTTATAGTTTCCAAAGGCTAGTTTATTCTAGCAGAGCTTGGTATCAAAGATTCTAGAGTGGACATCTAAAAAACATCCGTTATGATGTATATCTGTAAGTCACTTCCCTGCGCATGGTGTAGTCGCAAACTGCAATAAGAGCCACTAAATGCAGAATCAAAACAATGCAGAGTGCAATAATTTCATTTGCATATTTTTTTATAAAGTTGTTACTTCCAGAACTCGCGATCCCGCTGTACTTAACACTTGCGACGTTATCGTTGATGTGGGAGGTGTTTACAACCACTCGAAGAAAAGATATGATCATCATCAAATGTAAGAATTTTACGATTTTTTCCACTGTCTTTCTTTTTTGTTTCTCTGTAAATATTTTTTTGCTATGATGAGGACCAAAATGCTTTTAGTGAATATCCAGAAAGAGATGGCTACCACTAGTACCACTTTCAATATCTATACTTACTGAATTCTCGAAATTATACAATGCTTGTATAATTTTAGAGAATTCAATGAAACCATGCAAACACTTGGAGTGTTGGACTTCAACACCAGACTGAGCTCAGCTGGACTGATTTACGCTCATTATGGGAAACAACTGATTGCAGAGGTGAGCAGCAATGTCCTGTTTTTGCCATGTTTCACAATCTGCGTTACCACTTCTGCTTAATGATTTAAAAGCTAAAAATCTTGTAATACTTCTCATTTTAACGGTCTGGACCTCTTGCTTCTCATACTGCTATCTTGGTACAGAGCTAACAATTTTAAGGGAGTAAATTAAGATTGTTGTACTAAACGTTTATCTAACAAGAATAGCATTATTTTACGATATGTTATGCTTAAATCGGTTTAGTTACTTGGCTGTTCTCATGAAGACGAGATGGTAGCGATTTTTTATCGAAGGCTTTACGAAACATTCGTTGAAGCTATTGATGCTGTAGACAATGG